CAGATCCATTTGGACTGCCAGTTGGAAGCCACCCTGTTGTGGTCGATATGTTTTGTCAACTTGGCTGGATCGCCTCTTGGTTTTACACCCTGAACTGCTGACTAATACCTACCTGCTGGGATAATCATGCACATACCATTGGTGTTTCATGTGGCTGAAGCATGTTAAGTAAGAGTGTATGAACTCATTAATTTAACAAATATGGAATTTCTACTTATGCTCCAGGCCTCGTACTGGATACTAAATATTCCTTTCTTCGGTGTGTTGGTCCAGTTTTGAAATATTTCACTTTGGCTTGTTTAATGACAAGGTCTCTCTATGTAATTGAGGTTGGCTTTGAACTCACTGTGTAGCCCAGGCTGGCCTCAAATTTGTAGTAACCCCCTGCCTCAGCCTCCTCAGTGCTGGGATCATGCTACCACACCCAGGTTCAAATCTTTTTAGTGTTGAAATAAACCTGTAGAATAGAATGGTTTGAATTTGGGATCAGAATGAAGGTAGAACAAGAGACCAGATCTAATTAAATGGAAGTTTAACAGCAAAAAGGTGGTCATATATAACCCAAAAATACAGAATTTAAATATGGAGTAGTGGGCCAAGAATGTAGCTCAGCAGCACAAGGGCTGCCTGGCAAGTGCAAGGTCCTGAGTTTGATTACTTGTACCAAAAGTAAATGAATAAACAAATAAGGAATAGCTGTGTGTAATGGTAATCAAGGCATCAGCTCTCATTTGGTTGTACTTCATGTTGATCAGTGACATTCTGGTGTCTTCACAGCTGAGGGCAGTATTTCCTAGATCTAAGTTATCCTCAATAAGTCAGATGGTGACAGGGCCTATTACTGTATCTTCTATTTTGTCATGGGACAGCCTAAGTATTGTGTTTTGTTTTGCAGCCACATCTTGAAAGAGTCTGCATGTCAGAGCATTTGGCCAGGGCATTTGAACCTGTGGCATGGGGCCTGTAGAGAGAAGTGGGTGGATTGGAGAGGAGTCAGGACTGTGGGCAGGACAAGGTCACTGCCTGCAAAGGCTTGTGTGGTGATCTTGTGAGAGGAGAGTTAGACATGGCCTGCATGAGCCTTAGAAGCAGAAGGGGGTGTGGAAGGTTCAAGGATCCAGGTATTTACACATTTTTGAAAAGTTTTAATAATTAGAATTTGTCTGAAAATGACTTGGGTTGTTGCCTTGGGAAAGTAGTAAATTCCCCAGATGACAGTAGCTTGACTTTTAACTGTGATGTATAATCAATCATATTTTGGTGGTGGGAATATATGACTATAAACTTTTTCCGTTGTTTGTGGTTTTCGTATAAATTCAATTGATTTGCCTAGCTACCCTCTGTTTGAAGTGGTTTTTTGTTTTGTTTTGTTTTGTTTTGTTTTAAATTTATGTATTTGGTACAGGGTCTCACTATGCAGCTAGGACTTGCAGTGAGCCTTGTGTTTCAGCCTCCCCAGTACTGGGATTATAGGCATGTGCTTCCATGCTCCAGCAGGCTTGGCTTGCCCAGGGCAGGACCTGCACAGCATACAGTACCAGGGATCAAACCCATGTTGTTGGCTTTTGCCTAGGCAGGCTGAACTATCTTCTCAGTCCCAGTTTTTGGTTATTATTATTGTTGTTGTTGTTATTATTATTACTATTATTTATTTTTTTACTTTTTGAGACAGTGTCTTACTTTGTACTCAGGCTGGTCTTGGACTCACTTTGTACCCCAGGCTGGCCTTGAGTTTGAAGCAACTCTCTTGCCTTAGCTTGAGGGCTTGGATTACAGGCATGTACCATTATACCTGGCTTTCCCCACATATGTCTTTGAAAAGATGGATTGCATGAAACTAAATTGATACGAAGTATAAGATTAAGGGGGATTAGTGGGTTAAATATTAATAATTAACTACTAATGCTTATTGGTATTCTAATAGGTACACTAAAATATGGTATCCCCCCCCCACTCTAATATAGTGGCTTTTGTTGAATGCTTTTTATGAGATCCTCACTTCAAGTTAACTGTACTGAGTATTTTGGGCTTTTTATAAATCTATTATTATTGAAAATATTACAGATTTTAAAACAGCCCATTATTAATCTTAATGTTCTCCACGAATAATAGCACAAGCTAGTTTGTTGGGACATACTGATATTTGATCAATTGTGAGGTGTCCTATAGCATTAAATTAAGATAATTAAGGTATTGAAGAGTCCAGACTGTTTTGTTCTTTTAAATTGTAGGCAATTTGTATCATGTTTTTTTTTTTTGTGTGTGTGTGTGTGTGTGTGTGTGTGTGTGTGTGTGTGTGTATGCATGTGCACATCCATGTGGTTCTGGGCATCAAATCCTTGCATCATGCATGCTAGCCAAGTGCTCTGCCACCCTGCTGCCCTTGCATTTGCTTTATATGGGTGGAATCACAGACTTTTCGCTAAGAATCATCATCACTCACAGAGGGAGGTCATTTCTTGTGATCATTTTGTTATATAGTTCTGTGAGGATGAAGTTAAAGAATCATTTTTTTTAAAATGGTCCTCATGATATCAGCAGGCTCAGCCAATTGTGGTACTAATTAGTTAATTTTGGTGTGAAATACTTAAAACTAATGTAGAAATTTTGGTTACAGCCTGTTTCTGCCAGTTGATAATATGAACTTTTACGTACATAAATCCTAGACCCTTATGACTTTGAGTAACTATTCTTTTAGTTTGCTAGACCTATGTTGTCTGTATCAGTTTCCCAGAGTGCTACATTAGTTCTAATTGGTCTTTCTGAGCATGTGTATGAGATCCCTGGTGCCTCTGTTTAGTGAACAGCAGTCTAGGAAGGCAGAGCTGTCCCTCAGTAACTGATACTTTTCCATTTGTACTCCATTTTCCAGGAAATGCAGTGGTCTTTCTGCAGACAATGTAATTCTTAATCTACAAAGCATGATTCTTGGAAATAAGTGAAAAAATTATCAGCAGTGCACCCAAAATGTTTTGAAGTTACATGTCTTAGTTGTAAAATATTTATTAAATAAAATTAATTGGGCTGGAGGGATGGCTCAGTGGTCTAAAGCACCTACTTAGAACAAGTTTAGCAAAGCACAAGGACCATGGTTCAATCCCCCAGCACCACATGCCAGCCAGCGCCGCCCCCTGGTGGGTTGAGCTGGCCACACACACACACACACACACACACACAAATAAAAATTTAAAAAAATAATAAAAAAATAAATAAAATTAATTAACAGCTTCCCTGGTATGTTTAGGGGAAGTCACATTTAGTTTTCAAACACTACTTTATGATTAGTAAGGATGATCTGAGACTCATCTTACATGAAGGAGGAATATGAAGAATCCCCAGGGAAACTCAAATCCCTAGTCTCACATGCTCACCTTCACTCAATTGGAAGCTATGATCTGGGTAAATGATGGAGTGTTCTTAGAAAAAACATACCATGGGAATTGTTGTTATTACTTTATTTTCTCATTAATTTACTGTAGAAATAAGAATTTCTGCTATCTTTGTGTGTTTACAATAGTCTGAAAAAATCTGTTGGTTTGACTACTAGTTAAGATTTTTAAACAGCAAAAGTTCACAGTAATTAGGTTTCTGTGTTCTTGATAGTCTCCTATTGTCAGTCTTAGACCACTCCAGTGTTCTTCTTTATTTTCTTTTCCTTTTGGTTAAAGAGTAGAAAAATGTGGCCTGCTGCTGTGACCTACTCTTTACCATTGCTTGCCTTTACTCAGCTAGTGTTTATTTCAAGAGATGATTGCTGCCTGGGTCGTCACAAGTGGGGAAGCATAATCTTTCCCTTTTCCCTCATAAGCCTGGATAAGGGAAATTTCACAAAAGAACAGCCACAATCTCAAACCTGATACATTGACTTTTTTCTGGTTGTTTTCCTCGATAATTTTATTTTTAATCAAAGATAAAAATTACTCCCAGAAATACCCTAAATTAAGCTGTGCATAAGAAGCGTTCATCTTAGCATGTATAAAATAAAAACTGAGGAAGAAAAAGCATAATTTTCAAGGAGTTTTAGACTTGGAAAGAAGAGATCATCCAGTCCAACCTCCTACTGGTGAATAAACACTCATTTTGTGTTTATAGAAAAAACTATTTGATGTTGGAAACAGGAATTTCAGTTTGAAAATACTTTGTTGCCTAATTATTTTTTGCTTTATCTATGGGAGATTTTTTTCTTAGCTGATTTATATCTTACTAAACCTTTATGTTTATAAAACTTATATATATTTGTATTTATGAGTTATTTACAGAGGTCATAATTTTTTGTCCTTAAACGAGTCATAGGAAGGAAGGGAACATGCATGATGTCATATTGAAATGATTTTAGGATCATATATAACTATATTGTGTTGTTTTTCTTTTGAATTTTTGTTGTTAGCTTTAAAAATGGAAGAGGTAGCCAAGGAGATTGCTCAGCGGCATAAGTGCCTGCCTCAAAAGCACAAGGTCCTGAGTTTGATCCCCAGGACCAAACTCTTCCTCCCCACTCCATGAAGGAGGTAATACTTACCCTAGTTTTGTAGTATAAAGAATCAAAAGAATAATCTTTGCTATCTTGGAAAAAATAACAATTGTAAAAGAATTTTTCCTCAGTATTGTGAAATTGTCTTTCACCCCTGGAGCTAGATTTGGAACTAGACTGTTGCTTCTCTTTGCAGATGAAATGAGATTTATGCTTGAATTTTCTTTCTTTTTTTTTTTTTTTTTTTTTTTAGTTTATTGTTTTTTTTTTTTTTTTTTTTTTTAGGAGTTCAGTACATTTTGCTTTTTCAAGTTTGTATCATACTGTATCCTTAGAAACTGACCAGCAGCATTTCTGTTTAAATATATCTCTCAGGTTGAGTCTCAGTGATCTCAGTAGATAACCACAGATACAAACTTTGGTTTTTTTTTTTTTTTTTTTTGGTGGGCATGGGCATAATTGCCGTGACGTACTCAGAAATAATCGGTGTTGAGTAAAAAAGAAAACATGAGATACAGTGAAGGAAAAGTAGCTGCATAACTGGCTGGGTATATTTACTACATTAACAAGAGGATGCCATTGATAAGTTTACTCTGTCAGTCCTGTTTCTGAGATCTGAAAATTGTCAATGCTTTGTCCATTGATATGGATATCAAGGTCAGTCCTATGTGGGCTCTTAGAGACCAGAGGAGTTGGAAGTTCAGGAATAGTCTTGTCAAAATTCTCCATCTTGACTTGATATTCACCTTTGGAACCTCGGGTCAGCAGAGATACAAAACAGTGATGTAACATGATCTCTGATGGTAGGTAGGATGTCCTCCTTTGGCAGATTTCTCCAGTGCCTTCCTGCATTGCTGAAAGGAATACAACTAACTCAAAGTGGGGAGGATTTTCATGCTGCAGCAGAGTAACCAGAGGACTTGATGGTGTAATAGAGTGATAATAGGTTAGTGGAAAGATAAAGAATGGACATTCTTCTGAACTGATGCCATCAAGGTGGAAGTCCACAGTGGTCTGGTGGAGTTGGCCGTTTTCTCTTTCCTGATAGAGAACAGCAGAGACCCGGACACTGGTGAGAGGGCTGGGTCGAGTGTTAGCTACTTGAAATATAAGATTAGGTTTGCCATCTATGTGAGTTACCACTGCTAAATCAGTAAAACGAATTGAGAAAGCTCGATTCTTTGGCCGGGCAATCTTCGCCACAAAGGCACCTAAATTAGAAACCATTTTTTTAGAATGAAAATTTGAAATATCAGTACCTTTTCTGAGAAGAGTATAACAATTAGTTAAGTCATTCTTGGTGCTCTGCTTTCCAGTAGTCTAGAATTCAGTTCATTGTTTAATTTTGGGTAGTCTCATTGCACTACAAAATTTTTTTAAATATACGTGGATTTCTGTTAAATCTTTATTCAGAATGAATATTGTTAATGAAAATGTAAAACTTCATCCTCTAGTACTGTATGTCATAAAGTTAAAGAGTTGCACATTTCCTATATTCATCTCCCTGTTTAATAGAAAAAAGTAATAGAAAGCCAGTGAAATTTGGTTATAACTACATAATTTCAATTCAAAGTAGAGACAAGACTAAGTAAAATGATTTTGGGTAGAGGAGTTATATCTCTTGAAATTTTTTTGTTTTTGTAATGCATTTGGTACAGTGTGTTACTGTGTAGCTCAGACTCAGTGCTCCTCCTGTTTTCAGCCTCCCCAGCACTGTAATTACAGGTGTGTGCAGCACACCCAGACTCAGTGGTTCGCTCAGTGCGCCCATGGGCAGGGCCAACGCTGCACAGGGATCGAACGCGGGTCCCTGTGCTTGCCCAAGCAGGTGCCTAGTCCACTGAGCTGTCTTGCCAGCCCTCAGTTGAAGTTTTTTACTTTAAAACTTACATACAACTTTTTATTTCAGTATACCTTTTAAGTACATTCTGTTGTGCCTCCATGTGAAGGTGAGGGTTTCTTAGATGAAGCTTTCTTAATCACTTAGGTGCAGCAGAGCCTGCTGGCATGTTGGGCTTACTAGAATCATTTTTAAAAGACTAAAAGTAAAATGTCTGCAGAGAAAACCAAATATATTGAAATTCAGCTGAACATTAAAAAATATGATATTATATGTACTTTACTGAGGCGTTAAGTAATAAATTCTAGCCATGGATTTAAATATTGTTAATGGGAAGTGTTTTAGTTTAATTAAGAAAGTATCTGTGATTTCTGTTTTTATCAGTTACTAGTATTACTCATCCTTGCACATAACTCTGCCTCCCTCCTTTTTTCCCCTTCCTTCCTTTTTTCTTGGTTCTACTGGAGATTCAGTCGAGGGTCTTGGTACTAAGCTACATCCTAATTCTGGGGATTGAACTCAGGCCCTTGCACTTGGCAGGCAAGCGCTTATTCTATTGAGCCATCTCCCTAGCCCCCTAATTCTTGTTTTATTTTGACACAGTATCTTGCTAAGTTGCAGTTACCCAGGTTGCACTTGAATTTGTAACCCTCTTACTTCAACCTCCCACAGAGTTTTAGGATTATAGGCATGTGCCACCATGCCTACCTTCTAACCCTGTGCGCCCTACATCGTTAATAGCAGGAAATCTGTTCACTTAGGGGTTAATGCAAAAAGTTCTTAGATTTCCTCATCTAAATTCACAGGTCCCTTAAATTTATCCAAGAAGTGACTAGGGTAGGGACTCTTACATAAGCTAAGAATTTATTTTAAGTTGTACAGGTGGTTGATACCACTCTGGGACTTCATGTCAGATCACTGTTCAAGTGATGTGGTAGTTAAAGCCAGGTTTTCTTTTTATACTATATATATCATATTAAAAATAGGCATTAACTTAACTTTACTTTATTAGAGGAAAGAGCCTTAGATCCTATCAAGAACATTTTTTGGCTTTGCCTAAGACAGTGTTTGCTAAGTCACTCAGCTGTCCAGACTAGGACTCATTGTGCCATCTTCCTGCCTCAGTAGCCCAGTGCTGGGATCAGAAGTGTGTGCCATCATACCCAGCTAGCTACCAGTTGCAGAAGCAAAATTTTCTAATGTTTATAGCCATCTCTTCAGTGTAGTTTGCTAAGGATGTTCTCCAGCGTGTATTGCTGGCTGTGCTACTGTGGGCTCATTGGTATTGGGTAAGATGATGTAGGGAGAAAATAATAGCACAGTGAAAAAGTAGAGGAGGGGGGAAAAGGAGGGAAAGGGCAGAGGAAAATCAAATTCCTGTGTTAGGTAGTACAACTATCAAAATATGCACTGAACATGTTTATTCAATTATTTTACGAAGTGGTTAGCTTCTGTGAAAAACTTCAAGATCTCTTGTCAGTTTCTTTTTGGCATAGGATATTCCTGCAAGTTAGTGTTATAATGACCCTCTTTTCCATTAAGTAGATCTAATAGATGAACTCTAAGTATGTCACATTCTTTTTAAAATTATTTATGTACTTTGTTATTTTAATGTATTTGGTTGTTGCAGGATCTCACTATGTAGCTCAGACTTGTGGTGATCCTCCTACTTTCAGCCTCCCCAGCCCTGGGATTACAGGCATGTGCCACTATACCTGGACTTTGTGGCCAGCTCAGCCTGTCCTAGGGGTGGGGCTGGTATGGCATGTAGTGCCAGGGATCAAACAGTGGTCCCTATGCTTGCCTAAGCAGGTGCTTTATTCCACTGAGCTATCTTGCCGGCCCCATACATTTTTGTTTGGCCCTAGACTATTTCTTTTCTTTCTTAGGCATTACTTGCTAATAACACAGATTAGTTATTTTGTAACAGAGTTTCTTATAACTGACAATACCCTTTTTAGAATGCTTGCAATTACTTTAAGAACAAAGACAAATTACCTGTGATAAAAGCCTCTAGCATGAGGCCTAGGAGCATTTGTATGGCAAGTAAGGCGATTGCACTTGGACAGTCACCACTGGGGAACATGGTACCATAACCAATTGTGAGTTGCGTCTCCAGGGAGAAGGAAAATGCAGCTGTGAAACTGGTGATGTACTTGACACAGATAGTATGGTTTTCAGGTGGGGCATCATGATCTAGTTCCAGATCACCATTCATCTCGGCTAGAACATACCAGAGCACTGCAAAGACAAGCCAGTGGAGAACAAAGGAAGCAGAAAAAACTAGCATCATCCAGCGCCAGCGCATGTCTATTAGGATTCCCCATGCATCTCGAAGATATGCAAGACCACTTTGAGTACCATCCATTTGTAGGGTGCTGTGCCCATCTTTGGTGACCATCCTTTGGTGTCTCTGATTTAGGAGAGGAGCGATAACTTTGCAATTGCTGCTTTCCATCTCAGGCTCTCTGAAATCAAGAATGTAGTTGTTAGCCCTTACCAATTTGTAGTTAATATTCTTGAATTCTAAACCTTTCTTGTTTCTTGAGCATGTTTCTCTGACTGCAACTTGAGATTTTTTTTCCCTCAAGATATGGTCTTGATATGTAGTTCAGGCTGGCCTTGAACTCACTGTGTACCCCAGACTGCCCTCAAACTCACAATTACCCTCCTGCCTCAGCCTCAGGTCTGCACCACCGTGCCTAGCACAGCTTTTCATAATTTATAGTAATAATTCTTAATGAAAAGGAAGAAGTGTAAGTAGATAAATATTCTTTTATATAAATTAATAGAAATTGCTTGGAAATTCAGTATTAAAAATTCTTTTGAAGCTAAGCTTAGTACTAGGATAAAACGTTAGTGCTAAGCTTCTAGAGATGTACAATTCTAATGTATTCTTATATAATTATGAGTTTTATAGACTGAACTTTGTTTTGACATTTTATGGCCATATTCATGGATTCTTTCTGTCCTGGCTGATGGAATGCTGTATTTTTTAATATTCTAGCTTCTGATTACATTTTACAGTAGGCAGATAATTATTTTCTTGGCAAAATAAAAAATTCCAGGTCATAATGTCTAGGAAACACATAATTCCCATCTCCCATCTTAGAGCACAAACCCCAGGCTCTAGACACATGGGGTAATATGGTTTTCTGGCTTTGCTAGAACCTAATTTTTAGGGACTTTAGCACTTTGGAGACTGCCTTTCTGTGTCACTGGGATTGGACATTGGCCAGCTGTGTATATGCAACTTTTTCTTTTGTCCTGAGGCTAATTTAACTTTTGTTGGTGACACTAGACACCTTTGCACTGCGGATTGTTCACTTATGGTGACATTTTCTCACTTTATTTTGATTAGTATCTCAGCTTCATATTGTCTTTAAAACATTTTAGAGTGTTAATGATTTATAATTTACCACCCCAGCAAATTGTCATAATCTTTTTTTTTTTTCTTAGCGTGGCCCTTTCTTTTCTCTCTTCTCTTTTTTTCTGTCTTCTGCTAAGAATTAAACCCAGGGCCTCATACATGCTAGGCAAGCATTTTACATTGAGCCACAGCTCAGTAGTAGTAAGGTGGAGAGCAAATAAACCAGAAGAAAAAGTTGCAAGAGTTTAATGATGAACATAGTCATTAAGGGATCAAATGGTAAATTTTATTAGAAAAAGGTAATTAATTCAGTTTTTTATTGTAAATAGCTTTCACTGCTGGTTGTGCTTTTCTGTGTGAATAGAAATCTTATGTATTTTCTTGTGACCATCTTTGCATATGACGAATGTCTGAGACTTTTGTCTTAAGAGTCTAGCAGGAACATATCAAGAAATATGGTCTTACTTCCCTTGAGTGTCCTATCTTACTTGCTGTAGTCCATAGTTCTTGGAGTTTGTATTTGACCCTTCTCTTGCTGCTGCTTACAGAAGTAGATACCTTTGGCAGTGCTGCTTGTCCCTTCCCGCCTTTTGAATATTGCTTAAAAAGGGCTCTAGATACATGGAGTGACCCATTTTCCTGGTTTTGCTAGATCCTTGTTTCTAGAGACTCTGGAACTTTGGAGACTGCCTTTCTATGTTACTGGAATTGGACATTGGCCAGCAGCTTATATACAACTTTCTCCTTTGTCCTGAGGCTAATTTAATAGCATTTGTTAGTGATACACTAGAGAACTTTTGGCTACGGATTGTTCACTTTATGGTGATGTGTCAATGTTTTATGATTTACTACCCCAGAAAATCATCATAATCATTGTATTTAGTGTATTTTTTTCCCTATAACTTGGCCCTGTCCTCCTTTCTTTCTAGTCTGTCTGTATTGTGAGGCATTAAACCCAAGATCTCCCACTTGCTAGGCAAGTGCTCTAACAGCCAAACCCCTGGCCCGTGATCAGTGTTCTTTATTTTAGTAGATTATTTAAATGTTTTAGGAGACCTGATCTCTGTGGCTTTAGAAATAGCAACAGTAATAACAAAATTTTCATAGGCATTATGCTTTCATACTGTTATCTATGATTCTTCAGTGTCTCAGCCAGATAGATGTTATTATGCCAATTTTCAAAATAGGTCACTGATACTTAGATAGATAAAAGAATTATACAAGACAAGCGAGGCCTTTGGATTATTATCCATTTCAAGTTAACAGCAAAGCCATTTTGTTTTTGTTTCGTTGCTACAAGAAATTATTCAGGTTTGAAATGAAAATCTTTCACAACATAACTGGTATTATATCCTAAAGTTTGTGTTTGATAGCCAGATGTTTAACACCTTTAGTAGGTGGCATTCTTGTCTTTGTAACTCAACTTAAACCATTAATTTTAGACGTGATTGTTATGACAGTAATGACGTAATGTGCATCACTTATTTTATGGCAGAAATCATTTCAAATAGCTTGTAACCACTAACTCATGAGAAGCCAGGTGGCAATGCCTGACGTGGAGTAAGCTCTCGCTGAGCTTTAATTTCTTTACTGTTCTAAATAACATTTTCTAGCTTTCACAGTAATATGTATTAGTATTATTCCCATTTTGCAGATAATGAAACTGAAGCACAGTGAGTTTCATAAGATCACAAAGCTAGTACCTTTAGATATTAAGTCCATGCACTCTTGAGTCTGGAGTCAGTGCTATGTTGCTTCCAAAACACATGTTTGACCTCATTAGCTTTTGTGATTAGTTTTATTTAAGAATCATTATAGAATAT